TAGAAAACTGATCAATCAAAAGAAATATGAGGCGTGAGGCCAAAATATAAAGTATCGCATTTCTGATAATGAAAGAGCCTATTAAAATTTTAAAAACACACTCTAATCAACAACTGGAGTGCTTTGTTACAAGTGCATATCACAGTGACACTGAGGATTACTGAGATTAGGACTGAGAAAAACCTAATGAAAGACACCTGCCACCTGATCATCCGCGTAACACTCATTCCGGTTGTGGTGTTGAACTGTTTTACCTTATTCAAAGTGTACACTGTAGATGCAAATGAAATGGAGAATCAAAGATTTCTAAAGAAAAAAAACACATAGATGCTGATAAAGTTTCACTCTCAGGATGATTCATCTTTCTATTTGTTTTAACTCTTTCCTCCTTGGATGCCTACCAGGAGCAACGTTTGTTTCTCATTTCTGAACTGAGCAGTTTTTGGTCTTACCAAGGCTACTCTTGAAAAAGAGTACCCGGACCCTAATGCTGGTTGAACCACATCTTTATTGACATATATACTTGTTCATTAAGGGAACAGGGGAGGTTGTCGAATGTCGTTTTCATAGGGGAAACAGTTACGTTTGTGCTAGCAGTGTTTGTTAGTTAGTGGAGAAGAGGTCACGTTACATGGATAGTTTGTAGTAGTGAAATACATTTTGCACTTTGAAGGATATTTCTTTTGACACATCTGTGATGTACAGTAGGTTACACACCGAGTATTTCTCTTGGCTTGATGAAAGCAAGCTGGTTACACAATCAGCTTTACCTCTGAATTCCTGGGAAGCTATCTGAAATGTGTCTGACCTGGAAGATAAATCTAGATCGAGGATTGTCAAATTACCACCATTGCTTGGACGAATGGAAAGAATGCACTACGCTACATTTCATTTATCCACAGTTGGGCTTTGATAAATGAGCTCAGAATGTGAAACAGAGGGCAGTGCGCTTACTGAAAAACTAGTTTTAAAAAACTATATATGTATATATATGCATCTGGTGAATAACCATAGGGAATTAACAATATTCTATTTAAATAACTTTTAAATATTATTGAAAACTTCCAGGGTCACTATACTGTTCAGGTAGTAAAACAAATCAGGGCTCATTGTTTAGATCTTTGAGTTTCTGTTTGTGCCGATACTCAGTGGGTTCCACAAGATTTATTTAGCGTTACCTTAAATACCTCAAATATAGTGTAAAGGTCTTTATTTGGAAATGAAAGTGTCAAGTGTAGGTGTTGTTGGCACATTGCAGTTTAACACAAACAGCTAATCTATTGACATCGACTGTGGCTTAAATTTATATGCACTTGGCAGCCAGTCAAAGATTTGCATTTTCTGTCATTGATAGAAGAATTTTCCAATTGAAACCAATTAATTTCAGTCTTATGCTCTGCTCTGCAGCTCCACCCCTCTCATCTTACGTAAACATTTTTCTTCTTCCTTTTGGGAAGAGCTTGTTCCTTGCCAAACCCAGGCTATTGTCTTCCTCCTATATGCATGTGCGCGCGCACACAAGACCGGAGTCAATTGGATTATTTCCATTTCTAATCTTTAATCTATACATAAATATATGTATATTCCACAATAAATATATATTTCATAATATATGAATTACACACACACACACACACACACACATATACATATACACACACACACAAACACACATATATATATATTTATTATATATATATGTATATATATATATATGTATATATATATATATATATATATATATATATATATATATATATATATATATATATATATATATAATCGCCCAGTGTTTAGCTTACACACAAAATGCTCATGTTATCTAAATCCAATTTAAACCCTTCCACTTAAGATGCCAGTATGCCAAAAAAAAGTGATGTAAAAGCAAGGAAATTAACAAACACAAATTTTGCTGGAAGGTCTTTATGTTAATGATAATGTCTAATTTTAAATCAGCATTGGATTCATTCTTAAAATGCACACACCACTTACTGTGAATTATTGTCACACTAAAAACTAAAGTCACTGTCAGATGCTTTCCAGGTGCTGTTCCATGTTGGATCTGATGGCACTACAGTGCTCATAATTCCATTAATTTTGACAAGCTCTCCAACACCACTGGCTGAAATGCAGCTCAAAGCATGACAGAGCTTCCACCGTGTTTTGTGTGCACTAACCTTAACTCTCTCCTGACTTACCCCATTGATATTGATGTTTTGAACCACAAGCACTTAATTTTCAGTCAAGTTCTTTTGTAATCTAGTATACCTCAGCATTTTTGTCATGTTTCCCTTCATTACAATGGATTCTTGACAGCCACCCTTCTATTGAGACCATTTCACTGAACGGTAAATCGATCGACAGAAGGGCCAGACGCATCTCTCATGTCCCGCGTCAGGTCTTTGCTGGATTTTTTTAAGGATAATGACTCCCTTACTGTTCATCTGCTGTAGATAGTTTTTAGGCGTACACTTGTTCAGTTTCTTCAGATTTTTTAAGGACGCACTACGCAACCTGCTGGGACATGTCAACTTTTCTGTAAACAGCTCCTTAGAAATCACCCTGTTGGGTTTTTTTTCATAGATTCAACCAAAGAAACAGGAACAAACCATGTGTTTTTGTGATGGGCTAGTAACAGAGTTTCTAAAGATATCATTTAAACTTGGTTTCTTGCTAAATTGTTTGTTATGTGGTTCATCTTTTGTTTTACAGCATATGTGCCTGGAATGATTCATAGGTCAGTGTTGTGTCAAGTGGCTTAAACAAAAGTTCCCTGAAAATGATCAGGTACAAGGACTGAACTAAAATCAAGTGAAAAAGAAGCCAGTGTCCAAGGAAAAACTTTGAAAGGCCTTCAGAAAACCTGGAAAACAAGCTCACTTTAAAAAATACAAGAAAGTCTTGGAAACAAAATATAGAGGAGTCAGTAAATCTTTATTACCATCACCAATGAGGTTGTATTTTTATGTTTTTGTTGCTGCTTGTTGATTGGCCATGCTGATTTTCATGACCCTAGAGGAGTGGAGACAAAGAAGGAATTGTAGAACTTTTCCAGCATCTCTAGTTTTGCCTTAGAATAGTGTCATACCTTTCGCCTTTCCTGCTAGTTTATACTTAATATTTTTGTTATCGTTATTATTATCAGGACAGCTGTTTCCATGTAAGTCCCAATTAAGTGGAATATTGAAAAAAACTTTATTACTAACTACACCTTAGATCATATTTTTAAACTGCGCATTATGTTTTATACTCTTGTAACTGTGAAGCATGTGCAAAAAGAAGACGCATTTACATTTTAGGACTTTTATAGAGTATGTTTTCAGAAAAACAAAAAGTTGAGATAGGCTTTCACAACAAGCACAACTATAGCTTGTGGAAGTGAAATATTAGCGGTTTCTTATGATCAAATTATAGTCAAGATACAGAAGTAATGTAATACCAAGCTCTTTAAATATGTTGTAATACAGTCTAAAGACGTTACAATTTATATAATAATAATAATAATAATAATAATAATAATAATAATAATAATAATAATAATAATGCCTCACCTTTGGTAAGATAAACATGTATTTAGGGATGGGAATCGAGAACCAGTAGTCCAATTCCTTGGAGTTAGTCTACCTGCCTATTGATCCCGCTTAGCAGTTTTTGCGCTTGTGCTAGTCATCTGATTTCAGCTTAACTGTGAGAGGAGGAAAATAGCAACACAGTCTAGAGCATGGATATGGACATTTATTTTATTATTATTGCACAAAAGGACGAGATAAATGGTAAAGTGGAAAACTGCATTCAGGACAGAAACAACCGCATTATGCTGCTAACACAACTTTGTTTTTTGCAAGCATCTGCACAGATAGCATGCTAATGCTAAGCTAGCCAAGAACCCAGAGGGAAAGCTGAGTGAATGCTGACCCCAGCAGCCAGACCCTGAACTTCAACGGGTAACAAGCAGATAAGCAGTCAGGCTGCAGTCTCACTTTTTACCTGTTCACGTTTCTAAAGCAGAATCACTGTGACAATCGCTTTTTTGTGCTGATTTTCATCTTTGAAAATTAAGTCATTAAGTAGCTACTGCATTATTTTTTAAGAAGAGTGTTCTGTGTAATATGCGTAATAATTATTTTTTGAGTAAGACTCCAACACTTATCACAACAAACATGCACAAACATTTGACCCACAGCATAAAATTAATTCACATGAATGTAATTTCTTTATTGCTACTTAGCAATGGTGGTGACCTTAAAAAACCAATGATAACTCAATGAGAATCGATAAGTGATATCGATATCACATCATGCATCCCTACATCAATTAGTTAAATACAACATGCTGCAACACTGAGGAAACTCTATTGTGATGGGGTGTTTTGCAACAACAGAGCAAAGTTGTGACAACATCAAATTGGGCTTTGCAGTTTTTGTTTGTGGGGTTAGTTTAGGGTGCAGTCTCAGGTCTTCTGCTTTTCGCATCCCCTACAAAATAAAAGCACAAAGCTAATACAGGACAAATGCTCAGAGATGGTAAGAACCTAAATTAGTAATAAAATAAAATAAAATTAGATCATGAAAATATAATGAAATGAAACTTGTAATAGTGGAAAAGCTTTATATACTAAGAAAAATAATATTTAACTGATAGCTGGAAAAAGTCTTTCAGTTTACAATTAAGTTTCATACTTTAAGGATTTTGATATTTTTGTACTTTTAATTATAAATAAAAATATGTTCTTTCAAAGTACAGTTTTGCCTATTAAGATCTTTTCTTAATAGGCTGTTTCTTTCACTTGTTTCTATTCTGTCCATTTCTGAAAAATACGCTATTCAGTCTTATATAAAATTATCCAGATACATTCAGGTTGTAGTAGGAGCGTCATAATCATATCACATTGTTGTTTGTTTGCGTTTAAAACTTGAAATTAGCATTACACACACAGAGAGAGAAACACACATAGATAATCTGGACCACCCCGCCCCGGTCCCGCCCAGCGGCCAGACCCCACGGAGAACAGACGGCGGGTCATGTGACGGCAGCGGTTTGTGAACGACAAAAGCGGACTCACACAAATGCTCTGCCACAGTGAGGCACACATACACAGAGGAGTTTCGTAACTTGGGGAAGTTTTACGGAGCCATCGATCACAGAACCGTCTTGTTGTTGTTTTTTCCTTGATGTCAGTGACACAGCGGAGGACCGAGCGTCGCCTGCGTCACCTTTTCAGCGGAGAGTCTAATTGAGTTTCTCCCTGGGAAGGGAACCTGTGCCTTTCAGCAAGGCAGCCGCGAAACCACCGTCTCTCCTTGCAGGAACAGACCGTATACCCCATCTGAGAGGTAAGTCTGACTCGGTGACTTCTTGACAGCATTGTGTCCGCCGGGCTGCCTCACAGGCTGACCCCGGCACGGTCTAATTTTCCTATCGGAAGTCAGTAATTGCAACGTGGTCTTTTAATAAAAGCTGGATGTGGTAGTGGGATTGACTATTATTCCTAATGGATTACAGCAGGGAGAAGTAGTCCATAAATTAAATTTGCGGGTCGGGGTTTTAATGAGAACAGACGGCTCGTGCGTAATTTGAGGTTTGATTAATTAATTAGTTAATTACTCACAGCTGTTTTCTGTTCCGTGCCTTCAAATCAGCATGTTTGCTTAATTTATCTTCCTATAACACTGACAGTGGTGAACGTTACTCTTCTTAATTTATTGATTAATGATTAATGAGCTCAACACTGGCTGTAACTTATGTAACCCGACTTTAGGCTGTTACAAGTCACGGGGAGACGATGCTATTTTGGGTTTTCAGAGCCTTTTAAAAACTAAGGCTGTTGTTAATTAACATAAATGTGGGTTTATTTGTGTATGTGTCTTTCCCCCCCCGTCATTAAATAACACAATGCGTTATTTCTTTGTTGTATAAATGTAGATTATAGTAAAGTTATTACTTGGGGATCCTTTTTATCTACTAATTACTACCTTTTTTTTTTATTCTGTTACATTTTAGTAAGTTTTGAGAAGTACATTTTAGATTATTTAAAAATGGATTCACTTTTTTTTTTTTTTTTTTTTTTTTATATGTGAGTTGGGGGGAAGAAATATTTCCATATAAGGAAAACGGCAACATTTTGAGAAATGGGTGTTTGCTGGGCTCATCAAGTGAAATGAATCATAAGGACTATCATATTTATTGTTGTTTATTGCGCACATGACTCATTTATTCATAGGTCAGATTGTGAAACTGTAGAGGCTGACGTTGATGCAGAATAGAGCAGTGATTTGAAAGACGAGCCTCAGATTTTGCTGAGTTCAGTTACAGATGGGAAAATATGTGACAGGTGTGTGTGGGTGAGGGTGAAGGAGAGGGCATCTGAGTGTTTGTTTTTTCCCAAACTGTCACACCTGAGATGTTGTTTCAGTCCTGTTGTGTCACTGCATTCTTTACAATACACATCTCTCCCTGTACTCTCCCTCTGTGTTTCTCTGTCTCTCCCCGTTTCCTGTGCTTTGTTTCAAGGCTGAGGCTTGCGTCACGCATTCCACTTGGCATATGAAGCCCTTATCCTGTTTAGAGCCTGGAGAGAGAGAGAGAGAGAAAGACGGGAGGAGAGAGGGAGTGAGATGTGGGGGGTGGATGGGTGGAATGAGGGCGACATCTCTCCCCTCCCTGTTGCCTGAAGTTTGTACTTTTGTTTCACTGTAGAGCAGAAAAACACGGATGAGTCGCTGTTCCGTTTGTGTATTACCTGTTTATTTGTCTGGCATTAGTGCAGCACAAACACGCACACACGCCCCAAATACTCCACCCATCCCTACGCCTTTTTTCCTGAATCAACATGCTGATGTTATCTGGTGGAACAAAATGCGCAAGACTGTGTGTACACACGCACGCACATATGCACGCGCGCACACTCTGCTCAAAGGGCATGTGCTAGGGAACATTAGGGCTAAACATTAAACGGGTGGATGTTGAGTAGTTGGTGATTCTCCATGAGAAGTTGAGGAAATAAGGACACGCTGCTCCACAGGCGGCCATAAACGTGAAAAGCTGTGACTAGTTGCACAAGTTTGCAGAGTGACAGGACACGGATGCTTAAACACAGCCACGTTAGAGCACAAACACACACCGAACACTTGTGTGTTCAAACCACTGGATTGAGCCACTGTGACTGTGTAGCTCCTTCTTTACTGCCCCCCACCCCCCCCATGTTTGAGGTTCATTGAAGTTTTGTCATATTTTGGTTGAAACCCACTTCATTTTCTTCCCCATTTCTCTCTCTGCCCTGTTCTTTCCACTTCCATTTTGACATAGTTTGGTCAGAGCGGCTGTTTTCTTTGCCCTTTCTCTCCTTCCAGCCCCCCACCCCACCTCTCTTCTCTCAGACTAGGGAGGTGTAATATGTGTGTGTGGAGTCAAACAGGAAACCGCAGGCCCCCTGCAGCAGCACCCCCCTTTTGGCTTCGCTCTCCTCTTCCTCCTCCTCCACCTCCTTCTCCTCTGTACACCCCCCGACCCATCACGCAGTGTGGAAATAATAACAGTCAGACTAAACTCTAAGGGCTTCCGCTTCTCTCCCTCTTCTCTTGTTCTCTCCTTCCCTCTGTCCTCAGTTGTCTGGAAAGCCTCAAAACGCTGCGCACTCTCTCGCGCACCCCGTCAAGTTCGACTTGAGGTGCGCGTGTGTGTCTCTGTCAGTGTTTGAGCCTCGCGACCAGATGAGTCTGGTGTGTCTTTAAATGTGTGTTTCTGAGATGATGGATCCTGTTTCCTCTCCCCTGCTGATGGCCCCCTCTGGCTCCCCCCCCCCCCCCCCCCCCCCCAAGGCCTGCAGCCTCATAGTCTAGTTGAGAGGAGCTCAGGGTGACTACATGCCCGTGTGTGTGTGTGTGCATGTGTCTTTGGGGGCGTAAAAATACGAGAAGTGGGCTGCGTGGCTCAGATGAGGGAATGGGAAGCCAAAATAAGAGGAATGGGGGGGGGAGGTTGGGGGTAAGCAAGGGCCTTAAAGCGAGAGGAGTCAAAATTGGAGCATGTGCTGGGTTATTAGGGGAGTCATGAGCAGGAAGTGAGGTAAGGGTTGAAAGCAGGGAGCAAGGGGCTACACTTGGGAGTGAGAGCTTGAAAGAGGGAATAAATTGGAATGAGTGAGGGGCAACAGAAGAAGTGAGAGTACTTTAGGGAGAGGTCAGGAAAGGGAAAAGTTAAATGTTGGAATAGTATTGGATGAGTACCTGGATGAGTCATGCAATTAGGATGTTAAATTAAGACTAATGGGCGCCTTTCCTGAAGAGTGTGAATAGGTAGTGAGTTTGTATGTGAGGTTCTCCTTGAGTCGACTGATATCGCGACATGAAGCATTACAGGACTATCACAAGGTGAGAATGACTTAAGTGAAGAGGGGGTAAAGAGGCTAGAAGACGCTAGGCTGAAAATGTGTGTGAGTGTATTGTGGCATGTTCTTGGACAAAGATGTTGTCTGGAGGTTTTTGGTCTCTCTGGTGATCTCATCATCTCCAGCCTGTTGCCATTAGAGAGAGACTTTGTGTGTGCCGGCCAGCTTTTGTCTGCGTGTGTTCCAGTATGTGTGCGTGTCTGTAATAATTTAGTCCTTTTAGTGATTTAGTGTGTGTATTCTGTTGAGCTAGCAGAAATGTGTGTGTGTGTGTGTGTGTGTGTGTGTGGGGGGCCAGGGAGTCCAAGCCACAATATTTTCCCCTTCAGTCATGTTGTTTTATAACATTCACAGAGGGGGAGAGAATAAGAGTGTGGGGTGGTGTGCGGTTCAGATAAATACAGTAGTAAAGACATGAGCGATTGCTGGGGAGCGAGTGGAGAAGAGTCCAGGGGTGGAGACACAATAGAGGGGTGTAGAAGGTGGTTGCAGAGTGGGTTGGGGCTGAATACACAGTAGTTCCACTGACCTAGAAGGACAATATTTGCGGACATGCACAAACTCAAACCCAGTAGCAGAAAAAAAACCTAGCCCAAGTAGGGCGACTTATTTATCGTGATGATGCAGGAGTTTGGTTTGTTTGTCTGTTTTTACCTGGAAAGGCAATAAAGGAAAAGAGTGCTGACTAATTCCTGTCCTTGAGTATGTCAGTTCAATTTCATAGAAAATAAGAGCACAGTCTAGTGAGAGCTATGACAAATGCAATCAGCCTGCTGCTGCGTAGAAACAAGTAATAGGAAAATATCCAAATTAATTAAACCAAAGATATTCAGGTTAATGTCTTATAAGAAAGAACTCTTCACATTTTCATGGAATATGTTTTTGGTTTGTTTTTTTTTTTGTTTTGTTTTGTTTTTGGGTTTTTTTTGGGGGGGGGATTCCTGTGGGAACTTCTTAAACGGTTAATTCAGTTATCAGAAATGCTGCTCCAGCTGCAGTTTATCTCTAATCTGCTGAGGCCTTGTGGCCACTGAGGAAGATGCTGCACGGCTGAGTGAAATTTCTTTCCTGTGATTGTTACATTTGTGCGACTCATTGTGCTTATTCTTTCATGAGACACCCAGAGGGAAAGTTTCTCCCTCCTTTGCTTGCCATCCTGCTGTCACACGTTATCTGATGACTCCTTTCTGTTCATTTTCCTGTGTGGTAAAACCCAACCACTAGGCACACGCCTGTCTTTGGATTGAAGCAAATAACGTGAATTATTTGCCGTCCCTGCTGCACGACACCGTGCTCTGACACCATCGGCCAAATTCTCCCCTGCGTTTATTCGTACCTGTGGCCAACTAACCAGCTGCCAAGAACTTGTTTTCACATCTGTCGTGCAAAAGTGTTAATAAAAGGGGAAATGCAAGACTATGTATGACAGGTGAACTCTGAGAACAGCATGTTCCTGTCACTGCACGCATTCTTTCAAAGAATTTAACATGCACTGAGCGATGCATATGTTGTTCAGTGAGAGATGAAGCCAGATAAGTGAGGCTCTGAACACTTTGTTTGTGAATATACATGTTCTCACTTACAGGCGTACACAGCCCACACCTGCCCAGCCCTAAAGTCAAAAGATAATTAACACTTCCTGTATGACAGAGCCTAAAGGAGCCTCTGAGTTACTCGTGCCTGCCTTGCACTAGTGACAGCATAACATTTTCCAGTTTTCCGATCCATTCTCATAAATTAAATATCTCTTGAGCGCCTTGAGGGAATTTCTCCAAATTTGGCTCAAATGTTCACTTGGATTCAAGGATTTACTGATTAGAATTGGCAAAGATTGAGGGTACCGTGGCCCCCGATGATATCCGAAGAACACCTGAAGGAGATTTTGTCACATTTGGCACAAACATAGACTTGTACTCGGGGATGAACCGATTAGACTTTGGTGACCTTACACATTTGGTGAGGTACTGATAGTGACGCTAATCACTGAAACCTGGCTTTGTGATCGTCTGCTCAAGATCCGGAGGAGACACGAACTCAGCCTCACGCACGCGAGTGTCAGTCCAGAGCTCGGCTAAATAGGAGGGTTACGTCAGGAACGGCATCCGGTATAAAACCTGTGCCAAGTCAAACATGCAGATCCATCTGCTGTGGCAACTGCTTAACAAGCAGCTGAAAGGAGCTTCTTCCACTAAGTACATCTATGTAGTTTGTATATAACAGGATATAACTGACAACTTAACTGGTATAGAATTACAAATCTACAGTAAGTATAAAGGAAAAATAAAAACAAGGAAAATAAGGTTTGCTTAATATTGTGGTGATGTGGACGTGGCATGAGACAATAACTATTTTAAAATGTCATCTTGGACTTTGCGACATTGTCGTGCATGTTTGTGACGTTTGGGACCAGAAGATTTTCTGGTCGCGGTTTCTAATGTTTTTCATCAGTGACACCTTGTTCCCAGATGGGATTTTGTTTATTGTGTGTGTTTGTTTCTGGCAGACCTTCTGCTTCTTTTATACACAGCAGGTATTTGCTGCTTTCTTTTCCTTAATCTGTTCTTCTTTTGGGGGTTTTTGTCAGTGATTTTGTTTTTCTTCCTTTTTTCCGAATTCAGAATCCGTTTGTGTTTCATACTTGGTCTCATTGTCACCTTAATGTGTGATTTACAATGACAATAGAACAACTGCTTGACCTCAAGTTGAACTACAGTACAGTACAAACCCGGATTAGAAAACACGCCCTCAAAACACACCCAGTTCCCACCTGACGGTAGGCTCTTTGTTTCTTTGGAGCCGGGCAAAGGGTGAGGCTTCAGTCGTCATGTTCACACCCTTCCTGAGCCAGCTAGTGAGCATCCTGCTTCACCATTGGTCTGCTCCCCATCTGGACTGTGTGTGTGTGTGTGTGTGCATTCCTATATGTGTGCGCTAGGGTGTAATGACTTGTTCTTGCCCATTTGTTAATAATTAAAGGCTAACTTGTCTTCAGACTGTGGACTTTAATCAGGTCACACACACAGAGACTGCCTCAGGGTACATTCTTTGACAGTTCATGTTGCCTTAATGCACCAGCAGACGCACACACACACAAGCACACAAAGAAGCTAATAAACACCCTCATGTAGCACAAGCAGAGTCATCCCAGCTGCACCTGGCCATTCAAAGCCAAGGTAACTGGAAACACCTTTGAAACCTCACACGCTTTTGATCCAAAATACTCGGTGCGTGTGTGTGTGTGTGCGTGTGTGTGCGTGTGTGTGTGTGTGTGTGTGTGTGTGTGTGTGTGCTGTACCCATTTCTAGTACCAGGGCAGTTTCTAGCTGCATCACACCTGCAACCGATTGCAGTTCTCCGTTTTAAGAAAAAAAAAAAAAAAAAAAAAACCCAGTCCCTTTAATTCACAAGTCTGAATGTCGAGTGTTTTTGATTGACATCGGCAGCGCTATCTGTCAAACGCAGAGTACCTGTTTGAAACCATGACTGAGCGGTGAAAAAAGAGGAGATGATGTGTCAAGTTTGACAGAAAAAAATATGTCTGGGGCTGAACCAACGTTGATCGTGCCCTCGCGGTCTCCTTTACTTAAATACAGACCCTGTCACATCATTCCCTCTACTTAATGTGATTTATTTTTCATTACGTCACAAAATGTGTGTTTTGGTGTGGCAGTGTCTTGCCATAAGAAGAAGATACATGAACAAGGTGGACGTTGGGGCTATATGTAACTAAGGGTATCTGCTTATCTGTTTTCAGGCGCTCTGACCACAAGATGGATCTTGTGGTCAGAGCCACTCTGCCCCGAGCAGCATGCCCCTGGTAGGGTCTCCCAAGGCAAATTGGCCCTGGGTGAGGGGCATGACAAAGTCAGAAAGCACTCCACCTTGATGCCAGACTTGGGCTTGCTGGCCAAGTGCCTGGCAGATGGACTTTAAGCCCGTGGTGCAGCATGGTCCACCCTCCTGTAGAGGAGGACAAGCTGCAGTGGTTGGAGTTTTGTCAGTCAGGCAGCAGACAAAGCAAAGTCTGCAGCTGTAGTTGCTCGTTAGCATTCATGTTGAGACTGTTTGCACATGGCTATATTTAAAATTTTAAACTAAAAGAAAAATTTGACAGAATTATTCTTCTACTTTATTCTGACCATTAATTATGACCTCAGATTTAGGTTCTCTACCGTTTTTGTTTTGTTTTTGTGTTTTTCTTTTTTTGGGGGGTCACTTATACTCACACAGGGGAGTGTGATAGAGGTGCATTATCTGAAGGATGTGTCCTTTTGCTTTCAGTACTTTAAGTAGAGAGGTGACAAATGTTTGAATAAGTTTTAAGTGTTTCTACAATGTTGCATTGGTGCATAAAGTAAATTATTATCAAGAGTGTGTAAATGTCTTCCCTGTATATTGATTTTTGGTGCTATGTGTGTATTCTGCAGGAGTCTGGCGTGTGCAGCCATGCTGATGTATGATTACCCTCCGAAGACAGACATTCAGCCGGTAAGGTGTGTGTGCGTGTGCGCGCGTGTGTGTGTGTACGTGTACTCGCATTATCATGCCTGATCATGTTTTTGATACCAAACAGCAACCCCTACACACACTACACACGCACCTATACGTGTCTAGACAGACTGGTTCCCACATTCCAGCTCTTCCTGGACAAACAGGCTAATGTACAGTGGACATTTGCAAACAATAGCTACGCACACTGCCAGGCAGTGGGCTAATGAACACACACTGTATTCTGAGACAAAACAGTTATCTGCTCTCAAACAGAGCGGTGTTTAATTTTTTGGCTGGCTGTAATTGTTTGTGTGGCAAAAACATGTTTTCCCTGCCATTCAAAGCAGAATGGAAATTTTTAACCCTCTGCTCTTTTGTCCCCCTTTTACTGCTTCCTCTTCTCTCTACATCCTCTCTTTCACAGTCGTTCTATCCTGGAGTGATCTTCCCCCATCCGCCGCACTTCTACAGAATGCACCCCCTGTCCCACTCTCACACCCCGACCGGGCTGACACACACCCAGATGGAGCCCGTGGACCTGTCTGTCAACAAGCACTCATCTTCCAAGTCCCCTCCCTGCTCCTCTGCGTCGACCCCGGCGTCCCCTCGCAGCTCCCCTGCCTCGCCTTACAGCTCGGCGAGCCGCACCTCTTCCCGCAACTCGCCCCCACACACTCAGTTGCGCTCCTCACCCTCCCACGCTCTCCCGCCGCCCACTTCCTCCCTTCCATGTCCCACCATTGTGTCTCCGGGGGGCCCCGGGGTCATCCCAAAGTCACAGATCATGGTTTCTCAGATCGTACTGCCTCTGCCCATTCTCCCCTATTACCCACCACATTTGCTGAACCAGCCAATAATGATGAACTCACCTGCCAGCAGCGACGATGACCATTTCAGGATCTGGGAGCCCAAGATAGGTGAGAGCAGTTCAGTGTTTGTGTTGCAACTGTACATGAAGCTAAAAACAAAACAAGAAGTCATTAGAGAATCACATTAAAAACACATCAGTGCAGGAGTCATCGTGAAATGTATCCATTTCATGTTGTTACTGCATTTAAATCACATCACTTTTGTGGCATTTTCTTGTTAAATTTGCAAAAATCGTTTACTGATAAATTATCAGTAAACGATTTTTGCAGAGAGAATGGAAAAATTATCAGTGATAATGAGGAAATGTTTTTCATTCCCTCTGTTCTTAGAATAGCACTTTTTTTTTTTCCTTTTCTTTTTTGTGGAGGGGGGGTTTAAATCAGCTGTTTCCCACTGTGATCCGCAGAAGTCTTTGATCTGTCACAGAGACAGACACACAACATACGGCTACCAGTTTGTTTGCCGTGGCCTTTTCTAGAAGGACTTCTAAAGTAGCAAAAACACAAAAAATATAGTGGAAGTGTTTAAACCTGACTGGTCCAAAAGGCTGAGAAGAAAGGTTTCAGTCTAAACTTGACCTCGTGATGGTGCTAGAAGAAACTTTAAGTAAAAAGCCACACTGATAGGATTTATCCTCTGGGGACCTTAGATGCCTGATTTATTTATTTATGTTAACATATTAATTATGAATGTGATTTAGACCTGATCATACTGTCAGCTCACGCATTGTTTCATCCCTACCCAGTTCACCCAACGAAGCCTCTGGAGCCGCGAAGTGATACCCACGACCTGCACAAGCCAATCAAAATCGAGACTGAACCCGCTCATGACCCCAGCAGTCACGAGAAGTCATCAGTCAGAGCGATGCCACACGAGTACGAGTAAGTAACACGACGACACTCTGTAGCGAGTTTTGTGTGGACTCAGTGGTCAGCGAGTTGTCACAGCTCCTTCTGTTTTCCATGTAAAAACCCACACGCTGGTGGTGGTGGCCACACACTTCACGTCCCCTGACTCCACACCCCTGTTTCACTAGCGTTTTTGACTCACTCCCTGCTGCCGAAGCTCTTATTCTCTGCTCCCTAATCTGAACTTTTGTTCTGCGTGTTTAAAACAAAAGCATGTTGTCGAGATCATTACATATGCAATGGAATACAACCTACAGTCTTGTTATTAGAGAGTCCTGTCATAAGATATGACTGTTCTTTGCATGTCGCTGTAGTTTGAGCCATGTCAGTTTCTGGGGCAGTCCCGGGATCAGGGCGGTGCGGTTCTTATTAGCGGACAGCCAGTAAGAGCCTTGTGTGACTAGGGGGGGAAAAAAAGAAAAACACTGACCGAACTACGTGAACTTACTGGTTATATCCGAAAATTTAGAGCTTATCTCACTCTGATGGAACATAATTGTTAAAATTTGGCTCCATTTCCAAGTCATAAAACAAACTTTGTTTCCAAATGTATTTTATCATCAGCTTGATAACACATTAGAAAATGCTCTGTCTCCAGCCTGAGTCTGGACACAGTTCTGTTTCCTTCATGTTAATTTATTTATTTATTTTGTCTTTAGATTCTTGCTTCTGTGAAGAGCACTGGCTATTTGTTATTGTCTGTTCTATTCTTTTGTCTCACTAACAGAGTTTCGGCCACTGGGGAAGTACAGAAGAATATTTTCCTTTTATTTTCCATCAGGCCCAATAGCCACGCCTCACATTAGAAGCTCTTTTCTTTCTTTCCTTATCTAAGACGTCACAAGTTCATGCCAGCCATCTGGGTCCTGTTACCACCTTCATTCCTCTTCCTACTGTTTTTGTTTGGGTTATTTCTTCCTCTTCTGCTTCCTCCTCCCCTCATTCTCCCTCATTATTATTACTGTTATTATGATTGATTGATTTATTAAGCTTTGTGTTCATTGTCCAACATCTCCCCTGCACTTTCTTACCTTCCTCTTCCGGTCCCCTCCCCTCTGCAAAATAAGTTTTTCCTCAGAAGAAATAATTGCAAGTTGGATGCACATGTAATAGTCAACCCTTGCTGGCAGCTAGTGTATGTCCGTGCTTGTGTGTGTGCTGTGAAGTACACCTCGTTTTTTTTACTTTGGCTGTTAGGGCGGTTCCCTTTACAGGCTGCTCTTGTCATCGTGCCAAACATGAAATAATTGGACCCTAAAGGGAAAAAAAGAGGGTGCGTCTTTGTGTCATCACATCTTGTCAACAAAGCACACACACATCCTCATAAACAATATGTACGTACAGTTACTATATGTGTGTGTGTGTGTGTGTGTGTGTGTGTGTGTTAGGGGATTTTCTGCACATTCCTTTATGCAGAATTGATCTGTGTGGAATCATGTTTCAGCACTCGACACCTGCTCTCAACTGACACACACAGTGATGAAAGACAACTCCTTCTCTCTTGTAACTGTAAAACTGGTACATTTTGTGCGTTTGTTTGCACACACAAAGAAACAGGACTTGATGTGCTCTGACTAGGAACAGTGTTGCAGATTCACCTGCTGTTTGACAGTTTTCAGTCTCCTGGAGTTGGTCAAGGATAAATTTATAAACATTGATTGACAGAGGTTGACAGGGCAAGGCAAAGGTGTGGCTGACTGGAAAAGGCGGGTTTTTCAGCTTCCTGCCTGGCAGAACTTGTTATTGCATTGAAGCCAAGTTAAACTGTGGGTTTCAGTGTCATAAGAGAGGACTTTTGCTCCCTCTGCTGGCAACATTAGACAAAGATGGACAAAGCCCCAGCGTTTAAAATCTTTTTCTACCCTTTGTGTGTTTCTTTTAGGGGTAACAACCCATCAGTAATAGTCCACTCGGGCACAAGGCACCCTTTCCCTGCTGATTCACCTGACACACTGAAAAAACGGAGGATTCACCGCTGTGACTTCAGCGGCTGCGACAAAGTGTACACCAAGAGCTCCCACCTCAAAGCACACCGCAGGACACACACAGGTGAGCCTTCATTCATATACCAGCCGTGCTTTTCCAGAAGCCTCAAACTTTTTGACATCTTCTAACAAACCTTGTGTAATTTCCTCTCTTTGCAGGGGAGAAACCCTACAGGTGCAGCTGGGAAGGCTGCACGTGGAAGTTCGCCCGTTCAGACGAGCTGACGAGACACTACCGCAAGCACACGGGAGTCAAACCGTTCCACTGTCCCGACTGTGACCGCAGCTTCTCCCGCTCTGACCACCTGGCTTTACACAAGAAACGACACCTCCTAGTGTGAAACCCTCTGCCGTGCAACTTGAATGCAACTCTGTGCTGGGTTCAGTGTTGGACTACACCACTTTGACTTTAAAATGAAATGGCTGGCCTTACCTGGACTGCGACAGGGAGTGAGGAAATGTTTCCTCAGGGTTAATGTTTAAACCCTTTCACCTCATTAAGCCAAAGAGAGGGGGGGGAAAAAGCTGGTTGCCAGCTCACACATTTAAGACCAGCTAATTTTTATAGAAATATGGTAGCTGAACCAAACCTCTGATCAGCTGTGGAAGGGCGAGACACTTTTTTTTCTTTTTGCTTGCAGCTCCTCAGCTGGCCTGAGAGCAGCGCCCTCTTGTGGCTACACAACCAAAACAGCAGTTCAGTCTGTGCAAGCCACATGGCATGCTCACAAGCTTCTCAGCGCAACATGATCTCCAGCTTTAAAGCTTTTTGTTTCACATGCATTCAAGTAAATGTTTGGGACTTGGACACACTTACAAATACATATTTTTTTTGCTCGCTACACCAATACAATGTGAAACTTTCCAGAATGTATCCTATCACGCCTACTGTGCATTGTGTCATAGATGCTTCAGCTTTTCTTTTTCTTTTTCTTTTTAAAACACTCGTGCCAACTTCCTCCTTCGGGATCTGCTATAATTAAAAAAAAAAAAAAAAACACACCACACACCTCATCTGCCTCTGCAAGCTCAGATCATGAAGTGATGACAGGTTGCTAACGCTCGCTTTCTCTTGTACATACACTCTCTTATTAAAAGCAACTCAGCCTTGGTTTTGTGTACTCGTGGGTTTTAACAGTCTAGTGGGCAGTTTCAGTCAGTGAAGTGTTTTTATGTTTTCATTCAGAAATGTGAAAGTTGCTGCACAGGGGCATTAATGTGTCGGTGAGGAAAAAGGCACCACCCGGTCAGTTTAAGGGTAGAAGCAATGAAATTGTGTCTTTACCGATTTCTTATGTTGAGTTTGTATCTATGAACTGTGTTTCGGTTTGTGACGTGACACCGAGGTAGCTTTTATTATTGTGTCACACTTTGATACGGGGTGGGGAGAAAATGCAAAATGCAAGGCAGGGAAATTACAAAATTAATTTTTATTTTTTTTTTATTTTTTTGTAATTTTTATATTCAGGAGCAGTTGAGTTATATTCCAGCCCACTCTACACATGCATTTGTTTTAAAAGAAAATTAACTTGTACACAATTAATACTTTATCATTCCCCTAAAAGTCAAATCAGGGATTATTGTTGTAGCAGATATTCTGCTGCCAAACCTTTTTTTTTTTTTCTTCTTCTTCTTTCTTTTTAAAAGTGCCATAAAGGTTTTTAGAGCACAATTTTCCACAGCTGGAGAGCAATACACTTTCTCTCTTTATCTTTTTTAAATGGCGCCTTTGTACATCTCCAATGTGCACTTTATATATATTTTATAAATATATATATATGTATGTATAAATAGTATGTATGAGTACATTATTTAACATTCCCAAAGCCAGACATTTTAAATCACATCAGGTTGGGGGGGGTTTTTTTTGGGGGTTTTTTTTGTTTGTTTGTTTGTTTGTTTGGTTTTTTCTGTTGTGTTTTTTTTCTTTTTTTCTATCACACATTTGCTTTTGGGTTTAATTGGAAGGTGTCCAGTTCAGCAGTTGTCTTGGGTTTTTTTTGTTTTGTTTTTTTTTTTGTTTGGTTTTTTTTGGCATTTTCTAGTCATGTATACAAGAAGGTGTAACCCCGCCATTTATTCGCATGTACACGTTCACACACCCCGAATGTAGCAGCTCAACTGATCTGCATTTGCTCCTCGATGCCTTTTGCAGTTTGTGCTTTTGTTTTTTTTTCTGTTTGTTTTTTTTTTCTTTTTGTATCTTTGCAAATACAATTGTAATATTAATATCTATATTTTATAATTCATTATTAGACTGAACGGGCAATTAATGGTTTTTATTAAGCATGATTTTGATACTCTATTACATATTTCTAGTGTTTATGATAAACCCTGTCTTTTTTTTTTTTTCTAATTAAATCTTACCGTTGGCAATTCAAAGGGAACTCATCAAACTGTGAACGTATGGTGTTTCTGCAATTTAGCATTTTTAAACAAAATATTCATACCACTTAATAAAGTTATTGCAATATTTGAAGCATGTATTGTTGTTTGTGATTCTGTTTTTTTGTTCACCTGTTTGCTAGTGAATTAGCTTATTTTAGAAGAGAAAAGTGTGTGTGCATGTCTGTGGATACTACAGAAGGAGAAAAGGACTTTTATTAATTGGCTAGGCAGAGATTTTGAGCTGGAAAGGATGTAGACTGATTAAGGGTAAGTGAAGAGTGTGCTGGGAAACCAGTACTTTGAGGAGCTGCTGAATGAAGAACATCTGAGGGAGGAGAATAAATGGAGAAATTATAACAAATCGGGAAGTGTGGGCAGCGATGAAGAGTGGAAAGGCAGGAGGTCCAGAAGACATACCTGTGGCGGTATTAGTCGGAAAACTTTACATAATTTCCTCAGGGAATCAGTCACAGTTTCTCCAAGACTGTAAGAACAATAACTAAATATTTAATCTTAAAAATTATACAGTATATTACAAAGTTATAAAATATAACTAATAGCTACAAATGACTCTAATTATAAAAATTCCACCATATAACACAAATTACATAAATATATAAATATGGTTGATATTAAGGTGCTGTTGCCCAGTGTGTACATTTGTTTTACATGGAGGGATTGTACAGTGAGATAGCCACAGGCAGGAATAAATGGTGCAGATGTCTAGGAGAGAGGGACTTCAACTAGATTGTTTAAAACATTCTTGGAGTATGAGAGAATGCCTGGGGAATGGAGAAGTGAACTGATTTTTCAAGAATAAGGTGGTGTAGTAAAGACAGGTATGATCTGGGGTGATGATCAGTGAGCAGCAGTGCAGCTTAATAGTGCGAAAGAGCGCAACGGATGTTAGCTTTGCTTTGAGAGTGATGATAGAGAAGCACAGAAAAGTCAGAAGGTGCTGGACTGTGTGTTTGTCGATCTAGAGAAAGCATATGATAGTAGTACTGAGAGAGGAATTGTAGTGCTACATGAGGAAGTCAGCAGTAGCAGAGAAGTATGAGCATGGCTGAGAACATGTATGAGGCTAGCGAGACAGTGGTGAGGTGCATTGACAGATGGGTTCAAGCTGAAGGTGGGATTACATCAGGGATCAGTTCTGAGCTTCTTGTTTGCAGTGGTGATGGACAGGTTGATAGATGCGGACTATGATGTTTGCAGATGACTTTGTGATCTGTAGTGACAGTAGGCGCAGGTGGAAGACAGGCCGGAGAGGTGAAGGCATAAAAGTCAGTCGAAGTAAGGCAAAATGCATGTGTGTGAATGAGAGGGAGACAGATGGAAAGGTGAAAGTGGATGAGCTTAAATACTTGGACAGTACACAAAGAGAGGTAAAGACAAGGCAAAGTGGGTGGAAATGAGGGTCGAGGGTGATATGTGTATGAGGGTAGCGTAAGAGCAAAAGGAAAAAATTACAAGATAGTATTGAGATCTGCTGTGATGTGTGGTTTGCAGAAGGTAGTTCCTACAAAAATGCCGCAAACCACACAAAAAGCTTATGGTGTAAAATCTTTACACATTTGCATCATGAAGTAGTTATGGAGCATTAGAGATTTGAGCAGATTTAATTTTTTTAAATAAAAACATCCATTTTCAGAGACTTCACTCTAAGCTTTTTGGATTCTTTATGTGTGACTGCACAGCATGTTTAGTCTAGCACTCACCCCTTGCACCTGAAGAAAGCATGAAAGGACGTTTTTACAGTCAAGTGCAATTTAATCTCTCTGTTCAGGGAACTCCCACAAAGAAAATGAAGTGACAGCACTTACAATTGTTACAGTTGTCAGGTGTGGATCAAAAGAGGTGTGCCAGTTTATGAATGCTTGATCCCTACTGATGATAACCAGACAGAACAGCAGTGAAATAATGGTTATCATCAGCTTAGTGATGATTATTTTTGGGATAAGGAGAACACAAGAGTGTTAAAAGACTGTAACATGACTTTTAATGTCACTAGATTTTCTTAGTGAGAGAGGTGGAGTAGTTGAATTCAAATAAAACATATTTGTTCTTTGTTTACTAAATACCAAACCTGTGACCTATAGTTTATTTCAAAGTTAGAAATGTTAAAATGTTACACTGCCTTGCAGCAATACTGTTACTACTATAAGAATGCAACATTGAGGGACTAAAAAAATACAGCTGCATACTCATTACGTGCAATAGCCCTTTACTTTGGATTTCCTGTGTTGTGCATATTAGAGATGATATAAACGTAAGAAAAAGTGAGGGCTCGTCCGGGATTTGAACCCGGGACCTCTCGCACCCTAAGCGAGAATCATACCCCTAGACCAACGAGCCACTGAGCGAGCAAGCAGATTAATATGTATATAAATCGTACTCGTCATCACTAGTTGTACTCATTTTAGTCTGTTTTGTTTTATTTGTTTTTGTGGGGTTTTGCGTGTAACAGCAGCCTGTTGTACGGACTCTCGTTTCACTGAGCTTCAGAATAGAGGTGTTGCTCCTCTAAAGAGCCAGAAGAACTGAAATGATTCACTCCTACATAGATGCAACTTCGCTGCTATTTTGACTGGCGTCATTTATTTTATGACTGGCCTAACTTATTCAGCGGTCGCATTCTGAAACAGAATGCTATATTGAAACTGTGGTGCCGTTTTCTAATTATTGGAGGAAAAACACACACACACGTACAGTTTGTTTTTGTGTGCGCTGTAGTTTTTTGCCCGTCTGTGAAGTTGTGTTAGCTTAGCTCATCAGAGCCGCTCCCGAGGCACAGAACTCTCTTGTCAGCTGTTACTCTTTGGCGCAGTCACAGACCACCGTCCTGCCGACGTGGCGGGGCGGAAGAGCCGCTGGCTGGCACCAAACGGGTGAGCTGCACTGTCACTTTCATGAAAACAAAACTGTCTCCCAGCTTTATAATTTTCCTTTGACTATACAAGCGAAGAACTGCAGTTCAACTTGAGATTAGTCTTTCATAAATTTGCTGCATCGCTTTGTTTTTGTGTGTTTGTATGTGTTTAGGAAGTGAGAAACATCCATTCATGTTAGCGTGAAAGTGGAGCATAACAGTGCTCTTTGTTGCCTGTCTCTTATACAGCGTTGCCTATGCTGTCACGTTGCATTAATGCTATAAATCGCACTAAAAAGGCAGGGCAGTCTTTAATACATCCTTACTTGGGTGTTAGCATTAGGGAATTATTATTTGTCACGCTGTCACGCTCTATATGAGTCAGAGGAAAAGATGTTTATATAATTTATGTCAAAAGTGCAAGCTTATTGTTACTGCTCAAAATGCAAAATGAGAATTATGAGACCGTGGTTTCCAGTATCTGTTTAAAGCATTTTTTTTGTGTGGGTGAAAACATATTTTTCTATTTTGTGAAGTTTTATATATATATATTAATTATTATTTTTAACCACACCAGCTCTTCTGATTTAAAAAACAAAAAAAACCAAAAAACGTTCTGCACAAGGACCTTTTTCTGGCAGAAAACTCCTTTTAACAGTAATAAAATCACTGAGTGATAGTCATATGCATCTGAGTACAGCAACTGAACACAAGATGGCAACATCGGACATGAAATGACCAGCAGTACTGTCGCTTTAATTATAGCACATATAAAATTCTGTGTTGTCAAAATTCTTTCAGTTGAGTGCAGTTTTATTTAGTTGTTCACAGCAACAATTCCCCTCACGGCACTTTCTACTGCAGCTTTAATGAAAAAAAAAAAATCACATTTAAAACCTCACTCACTTATTTACGACACTTGGCAATGGCGGGAAGGAAAAACTCTTTTTTAATAGGAAGCGACCAACAAATCTAGCTTCATTGAGGGACAGCTATCTGCTACCATATGGTGGGAGGTTGAAGGGAACGAGAAGAGGAAAAAAAGGAGAGAATAGCGAGAAAATGTCTCTAATTCCAGGCCAAATAAAATAAATAGTATCCATCGTGTTTATTAGAGAATCGGGATAATTGTTCGTTGCTGCAACAGTTTAGAATAAGATAGAAACTCGACTCTTTATTTACAGATTATTTAATGCACACCTGCACCCTAGAATGCTTCAAAGAGAAAATACAAAGACAAACTGCAACTTTAAGATATGGAAATAAATAAGTTAAATAAATAATAAAGGGCTAAAAAGAAAACAAAAATAAGAATAAATGGTACTGCACCTTAAGTAAAAACCAGGGTGAGATAAAAGAGATACCCACTCAAGTGGAGTCCCTTTGGTTGTTGATGCCACAGTGGCTAAACGTGGATCTCCCATGCACTGAAAATGGTGTGTGTTAAATAATGGTGTCAATCACTAATTCCCAAGCCAAATCTGAGGCACCAGTGTAGACCCAAGACAGGCATTCCTGAGATTACATCTCTCACCTGGCCTGGGCTGAGCTGGGTAAGGAGCAGGTGACCGGTAAGAAGGGGGTCTGGGTGTGTCTTCAGGGACTGCTGCATGTGACTGAGAGGGATGGATGGGGTAGAAATCCAAGTTGTCATTTTTTATGATTTTCATTTTTATTTATATATTTTTTTAAAAAAATACTTATTCTACATCACTTTAAACCAGGAATGTTAAACTCCTTTTACATGGGCCACATAAAGCCCATTTTGATCTTAAGTGGGTGGGACCAGAGAAATTAATAATACCTGTGTAAAATTGCAGCAATGAAGGTGGTTGGTCTTTATCAATAGGAAAATCTGTGAAACTTATGAAAATTCAGTCAAAAGTTCAAAATCTATGCGCCCCTTTCTAAAGCTGTCCAAGGGACCGGATTCGAGACGTCACCGGGCCAATTGTGGCCCCCGGGCTTTATGTTTGACACCCCTGCTTTAAATGGTCCAGGAGTCTCTATATACCCCAGTTTTTTAATTGTTATTTAATACATTATATATTATCAACAAAAGTCCCTTACAACATGTTCAATTGCAAGTACAGTGAGCTGCAGAAAAAAGCTCCCAGTCCTTAAAGCCAGATGTTTTTAGCCCAATCAGACCTCTTATGATGTATGTGTGGGATACAGACACAGCTTGATTGACTTTTTCCTCAATCCTCTTTGGCACGGAACA